ACAGCTGTGCCCTAGGAGTGCTGGTTACAGCTGTGCCCTAGGAGGAGTGCTGGTTACAGCTGTGCCCTAGGAGTGCTCGGGTTACTGCTGTGCCCTAGGAGTGCTGGTTACAGCTGTGCCCTAGGAGTGCTGGTTACAGCTGAGGGGAGTGAACACCACATACACCCAAGAACTTATTTAGGCCAAGAAAGAATGTCCTATCTCCTGGGTGCGGACCTAGGATGGTTATGAGCTACCTGATGCAGGTACCTGATGCAGGTACTGGGAACCAAACTCCAGTCCTCAAGAGCAGCAAGTGATCTTAACTATCTTAACCCTCCAGCCTATAAGGTGTAGCCCAAGCTGGCTTTGAACGTGTGACCTCTTCAGTGTGTCCTACAGGTATGTACTACTACAACTGGCAAACACCATAACTATTTTTTTTTTAACATTCTTTTGTGTGTGTATGCATGGGTGTGTGTGGTTTGGAGGTCACAGAACAACCTCCCAAGAAGAGGCTGAGGCAGGAAGATCACTGAGTCCAGGGCCAGCCTGGTCTACCTAATGAGCTTAAGCCCAGCCTCAAGAGTGAGAAGCTGCCTCAACCACAGCAAACGAACAACCTAATTCCCATCCTGTCAGGATGAGAATGAGCTCAGGGGCAGAGTGCTGGCCAGCACGCAAGAAGCCCACCCATAACCACAGTACTGAAACCACAAACCAAAGGAGGCCAGTGAGATGGCCAATCGCGTAAAGCACTTTTACTGTGTGAGCATGGGCCCTGAGTTCCACCTGCAAATTTATACAAGGGGAGAAGCAAAACCCTAAAGGTGTTTTGAGTGTACGCTCGCATGTGTGCAGCACACACGCTCACGCATGCACACACGAACACACACACACACACACACACACACACACACACACACACACAGTGTAAAACATCCAAATAAATCAAGGACAGTGTGTCAATCTCCCGTAGGAGGTTGATCAAAGGATTACCATCTATTTTATAACTGACTCAATTTAAAATTTAAATGTTTCAATATTTAATGATACTACCTTTGCATGCTTTAGTTCTAGTTCTGCAAGTTCCACTAAATTTTTTCTGAATGCAGCAACTCTTCTTGTCTTAAAGTCTATCAGTTCTGTAAACAGAAACATAAAAATTAGAAGGACCCCACCATAACGCACACCTTGCACTAAAAGGCGTGTTAGCAGTAGTACCTTGTTTTGCAGATTCAGAGATTTTCTCAAACTTCTGACAGCACAACTGTTGGGAAGTTTCTGCCTGTAGAACATCTTTGTTTTTGGCTCTTGCCTTGTCCAGGGCTTTATTGGCATTTTCATAGTCCACCAGCGACCTGGACCTTCTATAGAGGAGGTCCTGCAAAACAGAAGCACACTCAGTGTGCGCTGCACCCTCCTGCGTTAGACACCACCACCACCGCAGGGACACTCACACAGAGGGAACTTGTAAATGCTTTGTTCTGGGGGAACCAGGGCCTCCTAGTGCACCACTAATTACACACCAGGCCCTAAATGTTTGTTTGGTTTTATAAATAATAGCTTAATTGAAGCTGAATGCACATACTTCATAACTCACTCATTTAAAATACCCAACTCAGGGCTTGGACTATGTGCACAGAGCTGTATAATCATCCGAACCAGTTCTCGACACTAGTCACTGTTGAATAAGAAAACCCATGCTCACTATCACCTCCATGTGCTTACCCACTCTGGACAGGCTCTCAAGTAGTCAGGATGGCTTCACACTTATTACAAGGCTGCAGGTGACTCTGAACTCCAGAGCCTCAGTTTCCACTTCCCAAGGGCCAGGGTCACTGCATACCCCACAACAGACCTGACTGACACCCCACCCCACCCCACCGCTGCCTGTTTTCTTTTTGTGAGACAGTGTTTTGACTCTGTAGCCAGACTGTCCTGGCACTCAGAGATCCACCTGCCTCTGCCTTCCCAGTGCTGGGATTAAAGGCAAGACCTACCATACCCAGCTGATTTCTTCCTTCTTTTGAAAACAAAACAAAAACATTAAAATCCCACAATATTTATTAAAAGGTAAATGCTGATCTCCAAAATGGACTTAAAAAATACTGAGCTGGGTGTGGTGGTACATGCCTTCAATCCAAGCATTGGTGAGCAGAGGAAAACAAATGTCTGTGAGTTCGAGGCCAGTCAGGGCAATACAGTGAGATTCTGCCACTCTACCTCAACACCCCTCAAAAGAAGGATTCACGGATTTGCATTAGGCTAATCTCTGCATATTTCAATTTTAGTAGATGTGCTCCTGAAGTGAGCACCAGCTAGATTTACATTTAAAGCCATGTTCTAAAAAATTATCCATTTCAACTACATTTTATACTAAGCTGTCCTGAAACTCGCTCTGTAGACCAGAGATCCGCCTGCCCCTGCCTCCGGAGGGCTGGGATTAAAGGGGAGCGCCGCCACCCACCAGCTACGGTGCACATCCTTAATACCGGCAAACCCCACAAACCACTGCCCCTGCTCGTTCGGTAAATGATTTGGAAACTAGAGTGTTCTTGGTGCTTTTTCTACATCTGTGTTAATTTATTTGTCTTATTTTGTTTTCTTGGTCTTTGCTGTTTGATTCCTTAGTCTTTTATACACAGCAGGAAGTGTGAATCGGTTTAAAATATGAGGTATTTGTGTTTAATAGTGTTCTGACCTCAGATAAGGACTTATTTAGACCAAATGAGAAACCAGTAGGTATACAAATCTTATTTAGGCCTTTTCCTTTTTTTGAGACAGGGTTTCCCTCTGTCACCTTGGCTGTCCTGGAACTCAATCTGCAGAGCAAGCTGGCCTTGAACTCAGAGATGCACCTGCCTCCTCAGGGCTGGGATTAGAGGAAGGTGTGTGACATCATGCTGGCCCTGAGAAAGGTAATTTCATATAACATTTATTTGTTTTTGAGACAAGGTCTCACTACACAGCCCAAGTTAGCCTCACCTCCTTTCTCCTGCCTACTCCACCAAGTGCTGGGATCCCAGCCATCACACAGCACTACACACACCCTGAAAATGCAAACCAATATGCCCATAATCAACCGCACAGCCTCCCACCCAATAACCTCAGAAATCGGGCCAGTTACCTTAGCTGCTTGAGACTCCCGTAAGTAGTACTTTAGCAGGTCAGAAAGCTTGAGGTCCTCGTCAGCAGACACTCGGGCCTCTATTTTCTGAAAAGGGGAAATGGCATTAAATCACCTGTTACATTCTGCTCTAAATAAAAACATTTTTAATATGTAGAAATGCTGAAGAACTACAGAACCCACTCTGCTTTATCTGGGCGGCTTTCAAAATTCCAACAAGAAACGAAAAGGAAAATCAAATAACACTAATGAATTTATAGGAAAATTCTGTATCTGGAAACTTGGCTTTCCTCTCATTTTTGGCTTCACTATTACAGAATCTGCTGCAATGGCAACTGAAACGTGCTCACCAACAGATGAAGGAATTTAAGATGAGATGGAAAGGAAAGTTAAAAAGAACTCCTTGCCAGGTGGTGGCGCACACCTTTAATTCCAGCACTCAGGAGGCAGAGGCAGGCAGATCTGTGAGTTCAAGGTCAGCCTGGTCTACAGATGGAGTTCCAGGACAGCCAGGGCTACACAGAGAAACCCTGTCTCAAGAAACAAAAACCAAAGCCAAACCAAAACTTCAAAAAAGAAAAAGAAATGAAGACAAAGGGTAAATGTTGCTTTTGAGAAAATGTCTTACTCTGTAGCCCTGGCTAGCCTTGATCTCATGGTCAACGCCTCAGATTCCTGGATAGGATTAAACCTGTGTGCCAACCCATTTGGCCTAAGAGATATTTTATATTAGTTAAATACAATAAGAAACTTAATGTGGCCGGGCGGTGGTGGCGCACGCCTTTAATCCCAGCACTCGGGAGGCAGAGCCAGGCGGATCTCTGTGAGTTCGAGGCCAGCCTGGGCTACCAAGTGAGTCCCAGGAAAGGCGCAAAGCTACACAGAGAAACCCTGTCTCGAGAAAAAAAAAAAAAAAAAAAAAAAAAAAAAAAAAAAAGAAACTTAATGTGTCTCCTAACTTGTTATACCACAAAAAGTCGAATGGCGAGATCTTATTTGGTCACACTGAGAAAAACATTATTACTGGCTATAATTTGAGACAGTGTTTCTCTGTGTAGCCCTGGCTATACTGAAACTTGCTGTGTAGACCAGGCTGGCCTTGAATTTAAGAGATCTGCCTGCCTCTGCCTCCCAAGTGCTGGGATTAAAGTCATGTGCCACCACTGCCTGTCTTTTCCTTCTTTTTTTCCTTTTCATTTTAGTACTGGCTGTATTAAAAAACAGAACTGAGATGCACACAAAGACACAACACAGATGAACTTGGAAATCTGGAATAAGAGAATTATAAACCACACAGAAATGTTCAGTTTCAGGGAACCTTGGCAATGTGCACACAACTTTTCCTACTACTTTATATTCTTTTCTGTAATCTGAAACCAGGTCAGGTATGGTGATGCACACCTATAATCCAGGCACTTGAGGTGGAGAACTCGGCTGTACAGAGTCCAAAACTAGCTTGAGATAGATCCCGACTCAAAAATGAATAACTGAAATTACTGCTAAAACTGTCAGGTTGGGGATTTAGCTGAGTGGTGGAACGCTTGCCTAGCATGCCCAAGGCCCTGGGTTCGGTCCTCAGCTCTGAAAAATTAAAAAAAACACCTATTTTTCTTAAAAGGCATGCTTACCGAGTAGCTAAAACACAGGTAAAAAACATCAAGTGTGAGTAAGCTCAGAGCAACCCAAATGTTCAAGTTCATTTTAGTAGAAGCAAAATGTGGTAAAATGGAACCACATCTCACAGTGCTGGTGCTGAAGGTCAGAGGTCAGCCTTTAGAAGTTGGTTCTCTTTTTCCATCACATGGGTTCTAAGGATTGAACTCAGGTCAAGACAGCCAGGGCCTTTAACCACTGAGCCACCTCACTGGTCCTAATTTAAAAAAAAAATTTTTTTGGGGGGTCGGGGGGGCGATGATGGGTCATGCTCAGTCTCGTCTCGGAACCAGTATCCTCTGCTTCAGCTCTCTGAGTGCTAAGGTTATTGGGGTGATTCACCACAGCTGACGTATTTTTTACATTAATTTTATTTTGTCTGGGTCATGAGACGTGTGGAAGTCTGAGAACTTGAGGAGGCACCTCCTGTGTGTCACTGTTCAGGGGCACAGTAAAATAGCATTGATACAAGTGTGATTATATGTGCAGCGGCTCTCTTCATACTTACTCCTGTGTGTCACTGTTCAGGGGCACAGTAAAATACCATTAATACAAGTGTAATTATATGTGCAGCGGCTCTCTTCATACTTACTCTTGTTTTATCAAACAGTTCTGAAACTTTGAGGAAAAACCTTCAAGGGAAAAATAAAATACTCTGATCAGAAGCAACATTTGATTAATTTTTCACTTTAAGTGTATAGAGACAATATCCCCAAACCATATTAATAAAGGACATTCTTCCCAGGCAGTGGTGGCGCACGCCTCTAATTACAGCACTTGGGAGGCAGAGGCAGAAGGATCTCAGTGAGTTTGAGGCCAGCCTGGTCTGCAAAGTGAGCTCCTAGACAGCCCAAACTGTACACAGAAAAACCCTGTCTTGAAAAACCAATAAATAAATAAATTAATAAAACAAGACAAAACAAAAACAAACAAAAAGCCCCAAGACATTCTTGTTTTCATCACATAAAGTATCCAATGGTCTTGTTAACTAAAGAGTCAACAGTTTAATAAAAACCTCCCTGCTCTTACAATAAACTGCTTATTTAAAATCCCCAGAATATTACTATCTTGATTCCCCAGAAACTAGATGGTGTAAGGAGAGAACAGACTCCCACAAGTTGTTCTCTGGACTCTACACTCATGCTCTTACATGTGTGCCCCACCCCAAATAAACAAACAGCCAGGCCGGTGGTGCACCCCTTTAACCCCAGCTCTCAGGAGGCAGAGGCAGGTGGACCTCTGTGAGGTAAGAGGTCAGCAAGAGTTACACAGTAAGACCTTATCTCAACAAGAGAGGGTGGAGTGGAAGGGTCTGGAACACAGACCCTGTTCCAGAGGATCTGACATGGTCTGTGGCCTGCAGGACACTAGCATACAGGTGTTATATACTCACACAAACACACATACATACAAGTGAAAAAAATGTATGTGGGTAGATAGCATACACAGATATATATATATATATATATATATATATATATATAAATATATGTATTCTTTCCATATGTGTGGACATAAATATACATATAAATTAATTTCTGTGTAGGTAGCTGTGGGAGTATGTCATATATGTGCAGGAGAGGGTGTTGGATCGCCTAGGACTGCAGTTACACAGGCTATAAGTCACATACACACATGCCAGGAACCAAACCGAGCCATTTCTCCAGCTCCAAGATTAATTTTCTTCCTGCTCTTTTGGTTTTATGAGACAAGGCCTTAATGTGTAGTCTAGGCTGGCCGAACTCAACACTGTTCTGCCTTAGCTTCCCAGGTCCTGGGACAGATGCGTATCACATCTGCCCTCGTTTTCTTTTTGAGGCAAAGGGTCATGTATACCAGACTGGCTTCAGCTTCAGTCCCATGAGCTGCTGTGATACACACACACACACACACACACACACACACACACACACACACACACACACCACAACACACAAAAACTTTAATGTTCAACTGGAGCACCAGGAATGATGTCCCGATCCTGTAAGTCCCAGCAGCCAGTATTCAGGTAGCAGAGGCAGGAGAATCCAGAGACCAAGGTCCCTCTTGGCTACATAGCAAGTCTGAAGCCTGTGAGGGCCACATGTGAACTTGCGACAATTTGTGTGTGTGGGGGGGTGTACTGGGTATTTAGCTCAGTGTAGACTATGTTAAATGAAAAAAAGTTGTTTGACTTCCAATGAAATATATAGCAAATATGTTGAATGTTCAGTATTTATTTATAGTCAGGGTCTCACTATGTAGCCATGGCTGAACTAGAACTAATTATGTAGATGAGGCTAGTCTCAAACTCACAGATATCTGCCTGCCTTTGCTTCCTAGGTGCTGGGATTAAAGGTATGCACTACCATGCCTAGCCTGAAATGTTTTATATTTTAAAATAATAATTTGAGAATGAGAAGGCAAAAAAGAAACCGACCATTTTATTATAATAAAAATCCAGTTTCTCATAAATGGGTTAATAAAAAAATCCTAAAATGCCTACATAAATTACAAACACTGTTTCCTTTGCTGCTTCCCTCATATTCACGTTTTTAACTATAATTCTTACTTGCATATATCTGTAGAGTCCTGAGTTCCTAAAGCATATAATGAAGACCCAATTCTATTGTAATCATCAGCAGCACCTATGGAGAAAGTTTTAAGAATTAAAAATCAAGTTTTAATAATATATTAACTGTTGATTTAAAAATATTTACTGATTACCTATCTACAAAATAAGAGATACCCAGTAAAGGAAATGGTACAGGCAGCTGTAACCAATACGGTGGACACACCAGACACGTGAAAACGCTTCAGAAGCATGCGATGCTGCCTGAGTCGGAGAAGACTATGGAAACTGAGAGTGAACTGAAGCGTGTAGGATGAGAAAATCGTCACCAGCAAAGAGTGCACACACTGACTGACTAAAGGAAGCAGCGCAGAGAAGATCCCAGGCATAAAACGGCACTCAGAGCAGGTGGACTCGGTACTGTTGGAAACAAAGGGAGTGGATGAAGACAGAAAAACTGCAAACATGTTGGAGGTCAAGGTCTTCCAAACCAAAAGAGTTTGGGTCTGTGGGACAGATATCAATAAATACTTTTTTTTTTTTTTTTTTTTTTCCTGAGACAGGGTTTCTCTCTGTGTGGTTTTTGG